AATGAATATAAAGTTCATTTGGGTTGCTTTGCAGAATGTTCTGGAGAGCAAAGGAGAGGCGCGTGTTTTTAAAGAAAAAACGATGGGCTGGGCATGGTGGCTCATGCCTGTAATCCTAGCACTCTGGATTACATGCCTGTAATCCTAGCAGAGGTGGGTGGATCCTTTGAGTTCAGGAGTTCAAGACCAGCCTGAGCAAGAGTGAGACCCCATCTCTACTAAAAATAGACAGAAATTAATTGGCCAACGAAAAAAAATATATATATAAAATTAGCTGGGCATGGTGGCACAGGCCTGTAGTCCTAGCTACTCAGGGGGCTGAGGCAGGAGGATTGCTTGAGTCCAGGAGTTTGAGGTTGCTGTGAGCTAGGCTGACACCATGGCACTTTAGCCCAGGCAACAGAGTGAGATTCTGTCTCAAAAAAAAAAAAAAAGAAAAGAAAAGAAAAGAAAAGAAAAAGAAAAAAGGATGAAACAGGAGAGGGGCAATGAATAAAAATTGTTCATCAGGAATTCTCATTGGTTTACAGAAATAACATTGGTTAGTGAACGGCTATCCATTGTTGAGGGTGTGTGGCATTTTATGGCTAACTTGGCTTCAGTTAGTTTAAAGCCTACATAGCAAGTGACTTTAAGAAGTAATTATTTAGCTCAAGTGGGAGCAGAGATGTGACAGCAGTTACATTTTAAATGCCTTTCTGGGCCTGATAATTTAAAGGGGCATGCATTCCTCAGATAAAATGTTTTTTTCTTTCTCAATATGTAGATTCTTTTGGATTCTCTCTCTCTCTCTCTCCCCCCCCCATACGTGTGTGTGTGTGTGTGTGTGTGTACACACACATATCTAATTATTAATTGTTAATTAATTTTCTTGACTTATTGAACTGGCTGGAACCTCCAGTACGTAATGGACTTCCTTAAATCATTCTCAATTTCAGCAGGTAACATTTCATTGTGAAGTACTATGTTTGATTTTAAGTTTTGTTTTGTTTGTTTTTGTCAGACTAGGGAAGTTTCCTTCTATGTCTAGTTTGCTAGGAGTTTTTTTATTTAAACATTAATAGTTGAATTTCATCAAGTGTTTTTAATAAATCTATTGAGGCGGTCATATGATTTTTCTCCTTTATTCTGTTAGTGGTATTAATTATAGTGATTGATTTCAACTATTAAGCTGCTCATGCATTTCTGAATTAAACTCAATTTAGACACAGTATATTATCCGTTTACATATGTCACTAGATCCAGTTTGCTAATACTTTATGGAGGAGTTTTGCATGTTTATGAGTAGAATTGGCCTGCATAGCAAAGGGCTCTGGTGGCCCTACCATATCTTCTTGGCTTACCCCAGATTTCAGCTGCATCTGTGGTGGGTGCTGGGGAGATTGACAGCTCAAATGCATGCAGAGTATCTTCTGGAATTCTCCCCACAACCTTCTTCCACACCTCAAGAACACCCTTGGCCAACACACAGCCCTAAAGTGTGAGAGAATCAAGGCTGTAATCAAGGTGTGGGCCTGGGCTGGGGTCTCATAGGAAGGCTTGCCTGGAGAAGAATCCAATCCCAGGCTCTCTTGGTGGTTGGTGGTAGCATTCCTCATGGGCTGTTGGGCTGAGGGCCTCAGTGACTCACTGGCAGTTGCCCTGAGACTGCCTTCAGTTTCTTGTCATGTGGGCCTCTCCAGATGGCAGCTTGCTTAATTCATGTATGCAAGCCCAGAAGGCCATAGTCTATTAGCAACTTTTGCAACCTAATTGTGAAAGTGGCATCCCATCATTTTTGCCATACACTATTGTTTAGAAACAAGTCACTTGGTCCAGCCCACACTCAAGGAGAGAGAATTCTACCAGGGCATTGTTACAGTCTGAATTGTGTCCTCTCTAAAACTCATGTGTTGAAACCTTAACCCCCCAGTACCTCAGCATGTGGCTATATTTGGAGACAGGGCCTTTAAAGAAGCGATTGAGTTAAAATGAGGCCCTTAGGGTGGGCCCCAATCCAGCTGGGTAGTTGTCCTTCTAAGAAGAGGAAATTGAGACACACAGACACCAGGGATGTGTGGGGCACAGAGAAAAGACCATGTGGAGACAAACAGAGAAGGTGGCCATCTGCAAACCACGGAGAGAGGTGCCAGAAGAAACCAACACTGCCCACACTTTGATCTTGGGCTTCTATCCTTTAAAATTGTAACAAAATAAATTTCTGCTGCTTAAGCCTCCCAGTCTGTGGCATTTGTTATGGTAGCCCTGGCAGACTCACACAGGAGTGAGTACAAGGAGGTAGGGCTCATGCTCTGATGACTGTTGCTACAAATCACTGGCTGAAATCAAATTGGCAAAAGCCAAGTGTCTGAGAGAGGTTCACTATGAAAGGGACTACTACCAGCCTGGAATAAAGACGCTTGAAACTAACCGTCAGGCCCCCGTAACTCTCCATGAGTAAACAGTGGGCCGAGAAATCCTACTGTGTGTAGGAAGGGGCACACCATGAACCACCACCCTTCCGGGTCACTGTGCACACTGACACTTCTGCCCGGCGTGGGGAAGTTTAGAACACCACCACGAAGGTGACCATCTTAAAATCTTCCAGAGAGAAAAAGTGTGCTAACTATAAAGGCCTAAGAATAACGTGAAAATGAGACTTCTTATCAGCGATACCAGGTACCAGAAAACAGGAGATCAAACTTTTCAAAATTCTGACTGGAAGTAAGTTGGACTTAGAATTCTATACTTTTTCCGATGTTTAATGAAGGTGTCATTCAAGAGACAGAATGAAAACAAAAAGACATTTTCAAACGTGCAAGGACTCAAACAGTATAACACCCACAGATTTGCTCCCCCACTTCCCTCAGATAATTTCTGGATGACACATTCTAGCAAGCAAAGTGGATCCAAGGGGTAAAAGATGGGATAAAGAATCAAAGGTGGACCAACAGAAATGAAATAAAAACCTCATGATGTACAAATAGGAAACTCAACCCACCACCATCATCGTCAGAACTTGCGTCCCTATTGGTAAAACTTACTTATAATCCTAAAGGGAGTGTGGGAAAAGGGTTGGACATCATTAAAACCTGACACTGAAATCCCAGATGATATGCACAGAGGCTGAGTCAGAGCAATGGAGATATGGGGAGAGGAGAGAGAAGTAGCCCCATGATGCTTCCACTTCTCTCAAGGACAGAAGGCAGTTCCAGAAGCCCCTGATTAGACAGCTTCTTCTGTTTAAGCCCAGTGGGAGGGGACTGGACAGTCTCTTGGTCACTAATTCCAGTAGAAGAATCATTGTATTCCTCTGGGCCTTGTTGGGTCAAATGCCCAGAGGAGATGTCTGAGTCTCATTCCTACCCTTGGGATCTTGGGTGGAGTCAACTCCACCCGCCGTACATGGTATCAGTTAAGATCTGAACTTGGCTCTGAGTCACAGAGAACCCCATAGGCAGCCACTCAGCTAATCATGGTCTGGAAGGAGGCATTGCCTGATAGCAGCAGAGCAGCCCCAGCATCCCGTTTGAATTCTGGAGGGAGAGAAGTAGGAAGATGAGGTATACAGGGCGGCATTATTGAAGGAATAGCCAAATAGGTCCACGGAGCTGAATCAGGAGATAGGACCAGGTAGATATTGAAATTTTACATATGATACAGGTGGGATAAATTATCCAATCAAGGATGGTGGAACAGCAAATTTTCCATTTAGGAAGAAAAATGTTAGGACTAAATATACTAAAATGATAGAGGAAATGCTTTTGAGTTCTTGATTTAATGAATGTCTACTTAAATAAGAAGAGAAGCAAAATTCATGGAGAAAAAAATGGACAAATTTTATAAAAGCATGATTTAAAAACATGCTAGCATGTTAAGAGCAAAGACAGTCTTAAGTTATAATCTATCAATAGACAGTTGAAAATATTTGCAGCATATGTAACAAAGGGGTACTATTTAGAGTATATGAGGCTCTTCTAGAAACGGTGCTGGCGGTGAAATGCTTGCCCGTGACCAGAAGATAACAGTCAGGAGGAGAGATGAAAGGACCGGTGGCTCTGCCGCTGTCAGGGAATGTTTCCCTCCAGATCCTGTGAAAAGATACCCAACTTCACTTATAATTAGGAAAACACAAATTAAATAATGGAATGCCACTTTGAATCCATTAAAAAGGCAATATTGGCCGGGCACGGTGGCTCACACCCATAATCCCAGCACTCTGGGAGGCCGAGGCGGGAGGATTGCTCAAGGTCAGGAGTTTGAAACCAGCCTGAGCAAGAGTGAGATCCTGTCTCTACTAAAGATAGAAAGAAATTAATTGGCCAACTAAAAATATATAGAAAAAATTAGCCGGGCGTGGTGGCACATGCCTGTAGTCCCAGCTACTCGGGAGGCTGAGGCAAGAGGATTGCTTGAGCCCAGGAGTTTGAGGTTGCTGTGAGCTAGGCTGATGCCATGGCACTCTAGCCTGGGCAACAGAGTGAGACTCTGTCTCAAAAGAAAAAAAAAAGGCAATATTTTTGAAGTTTGACAAACTCAAAGTCGGTTCTGTTGTAGAGCAATCATACATTGCTGTTGGCATGGCCATTTTGGAGAATTGCTCGGCACTTCTCCACGTGTCACTAACACGTGTATCACTGGGATTTAGCCAGGTTGCTTCTCAGCATCTACCCTAGAGAAGCACTTGTATATGTGCCCCAAGAGGCACATGAAGTTATGTTCATTGCAGCGTTTACAACAGGAATAAAGAGAATAATTGGAATGCCTACCAGCAGTGGAATGGTTAAACACACTGTGGCGCGTCCATACTGTGAAACACACTCACTGTCACCTGGGCTCCTCCGTCTCCTCCATGTGGCCTTGCAATGTGCTGGTCTCAGTGGACTCAGCTTCTTATGTGGTGGTTGGCATCCCCCAGAGCTCAACGTAGAGGCGTCCGGGCAAAGCAGAGGCTGCTAGGCCATCTTAGGGTTCCGGCTCAGAACTGGAGAACTCTCTCTGCTGCCACATTCTGTTGGCCAAAGGCGAACAGGAGGCAGCTGAGACCCACCAGGCAGGGTCCCACGCATCACCTCTTGCTGGGCGCAGCAGGCAGGAGGAGCAGTCGGCTCCCACGGAGAGGAGAGGAATCCCCAGAGGCCACTCTCTGAGATTGCCTACCACAACTTTATTGAGGATTTCAGGAAAGACTTTTTTATTTCAGAGCTGTGGAGCTCCATAGAAGAGTTCTAAGCAGAAGGTGCGTGTGGGTGGGATGGGTCGCGTTGGACTGACATTTTTAAAAATTATCATTTATTCTTTTATTTTTCATTTTATTACCATGAAGATTGTCAATACCAATGGATTGACATTTTGAAAAGATGCCAAGTATCTCGCTGCCTGTGCAGCCTGGCACAGAGGGGTCCCCATAGATGTGGATCCATGAGGACCAGCTCCTTAGAAGATAGTTGGAATGACTGAGGCAAGAAATGATGGAGATCTGGGTTTGGTGGTAGCTGTGGGCATGGAGAAAACTGAGGATTTATGGCATAGGAAATCATACAATCTTAGTATATGCCTGTGGTCCCAGGCATAAGTATTAACATTAGTCATTTTCATTCTGTTTGGGTGCTAGACTACTCAGTCATCCCCTATATGGCAGGAAAAACAAGCAGATGCTGGTAACAGAGCAGGTGCAGGGGGTAGGGGGGAGAGGGAGTGTCAAGGATGACTTCCAGTTTCTGGCTTGCAGACAGGAACAAAAGGTGGTGCCATTCGCCTAGCCAGCATGAGGCCTGGGTGAGGGATGACATGCCACCCTCAGACAGAAGATACACAGGTCTGGAGCTCAGAGTAGAATGTAGGTGGGGGTAGGAATTTGTGAGTGAGTTTCTGATCAATGCTTGGCAACTGAAACTGAGAGAGACAGTGTCCAGGAAGAGAGCAAATGCTGCCAAGATGATCACAGGTTGGAACCAAATGGAATGCCATTCTATGGAGGGTCCACTTCTTTCTGGGAAAAATTAAGATGGAAATCCATTGAAAGTTTTGAGCTGAAGAGAGTGATAGGATATTGTTCTGAGAGTTCACTTGGGAATTTGAGTTTTAGAAAATAACTAACATATTCAGAGACTCATGAAGTGACTGTGTTTGAGTATATATCTTCCAGTTAAAACCAGATGTTAATTAAACACATTTATGTTAATAAAAATTAATCTCATTGACTTACATTCTAATTCAAGAAACCACTTTGTTCTCTTTTTGTGAAACCCTTAATTAGCAGTGTTTGACACTCTGGGGTTTTTCTGTATCTACTCCTTTCTGTTCAAGAGTTAGTTTAGTGCAACCCTTAATTATCCCCAGAGCTATTATTAAAAGAATCTGTAAATGGAAACATTTTAAAAGCCAAGAATCTCGGTAATTTTATCCTCATCAAGGTTTGTAAGATCAGAGTTTTTACATTTTGGCAACTTATTATTTAAAGAAGAAATAGAACTATTAAGAGAAAATAATACACATTGATGATCAGACTTTTATATTGGTCCATTGACCCCCAAATCTCACTTGCTTACAGGATCGTGTTATATCTGAGTTTGAATTATTATTATATTTTATTTTTTAGGGACAAGGTCTTGATATGTTTTCCTGGCTGGGGTACAGTGGCTATTCACAGGCATGATTCTGCTACTGATAAGTGAGTTTAATTTGTAATTCTACTACTTATTAGATTTAGAGGAATTTGTTAAATCTCCCTTATCCTCTACTTCACCAATAAAATAAAAGTAAAAATACATAACTCATGAAGTTCCTATGATATTTACATGAGGCAATATCTATATAGTGTTTGGTACTCTGTACTCATTCAATATATTTTATTAATTAATAACAATACAGAGTTTATGGTTGCATGATGACAAATTTTGGAAATAGTGGTGATGGCTATGCAACAATATGAATATAATTAATGCCACTGAATTGTACACTTAAAATGGCTAAAATATTAATAAAACAATAAAAAAATATAAAATACAATTACATATTTTCAGCTTAAAACATTTTATATTTAACAATATATTTCTGAATTTCAATTTCAGAAATCCAATGAAATACTCTCCTTCTACGTTATGATATGACCGACAGTACCAGCGACTCTGAGCACTACCCCTTTTTAGCAGATGGGGGCGCTTGACAAGCAGGTACCTCTTGATTGTGGGAACAATGCCCTCTAATGGTTGGCACATGTCATTGCAACTACTAGTGCATTACTGAAGAAAGCATTTGGCTGCAGAGTCGGCTCTTAAAATATCAAATTCCTAACCTTTTAAGCCTTGATAATCACAATCAGAAAACAAAGGAGAATTTAAGGAATTGTAAGAAATAATAGTGAGCTGACTAGTAAGAGACAGAGTGCACACAACTCATTTTATGTTATTTGAGTGGACGATTGTTTACTTATCAGGAAGCAGAAAAGCACTGGACAGGGGCAGCTGGCCCACCTGGCGGGGCTGCCCCTCCCACCTTACCCACCTGCTCCCTACTCCCCACCCCACATCCTAATACTGATCACTTTCTAACGTACCATTCTCCCCCTCCACTCTCGCCCCCTTTTTCTCGTCCTACCTTCCTTTCTTCTTTGCTTTTAGCTATGAATTATCTTTTTTCTCCCTCATAATGTAAGTTGCACAAGAGCAAGGACTTTGTTTTTTTTTTTTTTTTTTTTTGAGACAGAGTCTCACTTTGTTGCTCAGGCTAGAGTGAGTGCCGTGGCGTTAGCCTACCTCACAGCAACCTCAATCTCCTGGGCTCAAGTGATCCTCCTGCCTCAGCCTCCCGAGTAGCTGGGACTACAGGCATGAGCCACCATGCCCGGCTAATTTTTTGTATATATGTTTTTTAGTTGGTCAATTAGTTTCTTTCTATTTTTAGTAGAGACGGGGTTTCACTCAGGCTGGTCTTGAACTCCTGACCTTGAGCAATCCACCCGCCTCTGGCCTCCCAGAGTGCTAGGATTACAGGCGTGAGACACTGCGCCCGGCCAGGACTTTGTTTATTTGTTGTTGTTCGCTGATGGATCCCAAATGTCTAGGAAAGCACCTGGTTGACAGTATGTGCTCCATGAATACGAGCTGTTGGGATTGGGAATTTTCGGGTATTGCAGCTGAAACAAATCCTAACCTGTATACTGCTCTCCACCCTCATGCCTCCCTCCGCCTTTTGAAGAAGTCCACATTGTTAAGCTGCTGTCTAAAGGGCATGAACATCTAACTTTCTAGCTGTGACAGGTTTTTCCTAACCCTTCCACTGCTTCTTCTGCAAAAGCAGAGGCACCACCGAACTTCGCCACCTGATCAGGCCCTTTGGGAGCTGGTTTTCTCTCACCTTCCCTCTCTCTCATTCCTAAAGGACCCATACTTTTGGAGCTTCTCTTCTTGCCACCGTCTAGCTGTTGTAGATTGGTTCTGCTGTACCCCTACATGAGAGACAAAGGACCCCTAGAGTTTCCTTGACCAAATTTTGCAGAAGCTGAAGAAGCAAGCATAAGATGTCATAAATAGTCTGTAGTCTGAGAAGCCAGATAATGTGATAGGGTAAATCTGAAGACGATGGTAACCTCTGGAACCAGACAGGGCCCAGCAAATGCTGTAATAGAGTTAGCAATAAGGACTGTGATTGGGACAATGACATTTCTGTGACACAAGTAGCTATAATCAATCTGGATTGATTGACTGACCAATCTGCCTGTTGGTCCCTACAGAAGACTGTCTCCTGACTGCCGAGCTGCTATGTTTTGTTGTTGTTGTTTCAAGGGCTGCAAATGAATATGTAATCACTTGACTATATTGTTATAAGCCATCTAAGAACCATGATATGTTTGGGTCAATCTCCTGAAAATGAAAATTTAATTAAGATTTCAGCGAGAGCTTTCTCTTTCCAACCTTTCCAGTGTGCATAAAATCAGATTAAAAAAAAAATTGTAACAGGAACATACAGAATCAGTTCTTAATGCTGTTTCAATGTGTCCTTTTACCCAAACAATACACTTAAGACATTTATTTATTAAGTGTCTAAGAGCTACATCTCAGTACTACTTGTAATTTTATTTCTTTTGATCTTCATTTCAAAGATTATTTTTAAAAGAGCATATTGTCTGAGTGTGGTGGCTCACGCCTGTAATCCTAGCACTCTGGGAGGTTCACTTGAGCCCAGGAGTTTGAGGTTGCAGTGAGATGCCACTGTACTCTACATTGTACTCTACTCTAAAAAAGCCTATCACATAGTGTTTAAATGAAAAGGTATAGAGTACTATGTTTTGTGCTTTTATCTTATATTAATCATTTAAGACTGTCCTCAAATTAGGGAAGAGATGACTTAAATCAATTACTTGTAAAAGTTTGGTTGTGAGGCCGGGTGTGGTGGCTCACGCCTGTAATCCTAGCTCTCTGGGAGGCCGAGGTGGGCGGATAGCTTGAGGTCAGGAGTTCGAAACTACCCTGAGCAAGAGCGAGACCCCGTTTCTACTATAAATAGAAACAAATTAATTGGCCAACTAATATATATAGAAAAAATTATCCAGGCATGGTGGCGCATGCCTGTAGTCCCAGCTACTCGGGAGGCTGAGGCAGGAGGATAGCTTGAGCCCAGGAGTTTGAGGTTGCTGTGAGCTAGGCTGACGCCACAGCACTCACTCTAGCCTGGGCAACAAAAAGCGAGACTCTGTCTCAAAAAAAAAAAAAAAAAAAGTTTGGTTGTGAAATGAAGCTAAATTAACTGTGAGGATTCAGGCTACAGTTTCTTAAAAACTAGACGTTTTTTTTTCTTTTGAGACAGAATCTTACTTCTGTTTCCCGGGCTAGAGTGCTGTGGCATCAGCTTAGCTCACAGCAACCTCAAACTCCTGGGCTCAAGTGATTCTACTGCCTCTGCCTCCTGGGTAGCCGGGGCTACTAGGCATGCACCACCATGCCAGGCTAGTTTTTTGCATATATATAGTTTTACTTGTACAGCTAATTTCTTTATATTTTTTAGTAGAGACGGGGGTCTCGCTCTTGCTCAGGCTGGTCTCGAACTCCTGAGTTCAAATGATCCTCACACCTCGGCCTCCCAGAGTGCTAGGATTACAGGCGTGAGCCACTGCGCCAGGCCTATAAATCTAGTTTCTGCTATGCCTCCTCACCAAGGCAAGTATTCCAAATGTTAGCAAAGTCAATATGAAAGTTGAAAGAATCATGGAGGAAGTATTTAATCATACTATCCAGAGTTTATTGTACTTGGAAATTATTAGACTAAGAGTATCCATCTCATCCTTGCACTTTGCTAAAAAAAAAAAAAAAAAAAAAAAAAAAAGAGTATCCAGTAAGTACAGTCTAAATGCAATCATGAACTTCCCTTTGATTGCACACGACCTTCAAATATTCTGTGGTTGCTTTCAACCATAAATAGTTTCAGCTGTCATTATGTAAGAAGCAATGAGTAAATGGCTTATACAAATACTTTTATAAAGGGTAGGACAACTGGACCACATGGTGGTGCCCAGGATATTTTATTTTATTTTTTTTGAGACAGAATCTCGCTTTGTTGGCCAGGCTAGAGTGAGTGCTGTGGTGTCAGCCTAGCTCACAGCAACCTCAAACTCCTGGGCTCAAGCAATCCTCCTGCCTCAGCCTCCCGAGTACCTGGGACTACAGGCATGCGCCACCATGCCCAGCTAATTTTTTTCTATATATATTAGTTGGCCAATTAATTTCTTTCTATTTATAGTAGAGTTGGGGTCTTGCTCTTGCTCAGGCTGGTTTTGAACTCCTGACCTTGAGCAATCCTCCCACCTCCACCTCCCAGAGTGCTAGGATTACAGGCGTGAGCCACCGTGCCCGGCCACAAGATATTTTAAATTCAAATCCTGGTGACAAGTGAGTGCTGAAAACCTGAGACTGGTAGATGAGTAGAATCAAAGCCCACAGGTACCTGGTGAAGAAAATCCAGTGTGTGTTTGTAAGAGCCGTAGCCCCTCCTCCCATAGACAGAGGAGGGAACTATTGACAGTGGGGAATCCGTAACAGAGGAAATGGCCTGAACAAAAGGACAAAAATATTTTCTGTCTCTTTAAAACATCTTGCACTCCTTTTTGAGCATGAAAACCTGCGTCCCTGTCTCAGGCCAGTGGTTGGGAGGGGTAGGGGAATGTCTTTTGTTATTTGTGCCACAAGACATGGCTCAGCCCTCACCTGGTGGATGGAGGTCCTGGGTGGAGGTCACCCTATTGTCTTCAGAGGAGATGGGACTGATCAGGATTATCAACTGTAGTTGAAAAGCAATTGTCTGAAGCTGAGAGCCCATTCTTTTAAATCTCTGTATTTCTTATTAGGAGGACAATGGCATTTTAGACAGGAGTCTCCTCATTTGCTGGCAAATTAATAAATCTCTCTTTCCGTTTCAAACCATTTGTCCTTGTTCTTCTGATGCAGGTTCAAGGGCAAGTACAGAGCTTTCTGTAACAGGTTTCAATGAAATACACGCATTCTTTTAAAATATCATCCTTCAGTGATCATTATTACAGGTTAAAGATTTTAAAACTGCTCAAGGACTTTGTGAAATCTTTTATTTTATTTTTACTTACTTATTTTTTGAGACAGAGTCTCTCTCTGTCACCAGGGCTAAAGTGCCATGGCATCAGCCTAGCTCATTGCAACCTCAAATTCTGGGACTCAAGCCATCCTCCTGCCTCAGCCTCCCCAGTAGCTGGGACTATATGTGCGAGCCACCACGCCTAGCTAATTTTTTTTCTGTTCTTTTTTTTTTTAAGTTGACTGGCTAATGTTTTCCATTTTTT